CCTGCCCTTGCTTTTACTGAGTTCTTAGTTTTGTTCTGGGTGATGGCAGTGGGGTTTGGCCTACAATTTCCTATTTCCAGAGAGCTGCCGAATTTGAACAGTGGCATTGATGGACACTCCCCACCACTCCTGTCTGGCATGGAAGCTTCAGGTCCTCTCCCTCCAATTCCTGGGACCTCACTACTGGTTCTTGGAAAAGGTGATGCTCATGTGGAAGGCCAAGTCTAGGCTGCCCAGAGGTGGTGCCCAGGTTTAGGACTGGGCAAGTGAACAGTAGATACGGACATTGGGGCCCCAGAGGAGGCCAGAAAGGGAGCTACCCAGGAGCCCGGATGGATGGGTGCGGATCTCTAATTGCCCAAGAACAGACAACCCAGGTTACATAATTTGGCTCTTTCCGCCTCCCTCCCCTGCTTCTAATTTTAGCAACTGAAATTCCCTCCTCCCTCAGGGCTCTCCCTCCATTCACTCGGGCTTCTAACCTCCCCCAGGTCCTCATGGTCCCCCAGCCCCAGCTGCCCCCAACTCAGCTCTTCAGTGACTCAGCAGAGGGGAAGCCCTGCGATGGGGGAGGGGTACTGGTGGGGAGGATGTGGTTCTGCTTGGGGAGCTTGGGGTGAGGGAAACTGGTTTTGTTCCTTTTTTGCCTCTTGTTCACATCTTTCTCCAGATGCAGGCTGCAGAATGGACAAGACCCCACCCGAGGGCATAGAGGGAGGCTGGAGGTCACCTGGGCCTTCTGAGGGCTGACCTCGAGGGAGGGCAGGCAGGGGCTTCTGGTCCCCATCGAGAGCTCCTGGCCTGTTTGTTGCAGGTGTAGGAGCTGTGGCTTTTGACACTTAGGCGGGAAAGGAGATGTCATGGGTGATGAAAGCCCTAGCAATGGAAAAAGCAGAGGAGACTCTGGAGTCAGACGTGGAACCAGGTCTTATTAGGAAATGGCAGCGTCCAGAGCAGCATGGCCCACACTCCCACCCCCGCATTATGTTGGTCCATCTCGTATCCTCTGCGAGGCGGCTCCTCTTCCCTGGCCATCCCCAGCCCTGATCTCACCCTTCCTTCCGCCTGCCCCTAAGGCTACATCCCCACAGTCTCCAGCTCCTTCCCTGGAGTCACTTGAGGGCCTCTGCATGGCGGTTCAGGGCCTGAGAAAGGGCCGTCACAGTTCCCATCACGCGGCCCAGCTCCCAGGTCTCTATCTGGCTTCGGAATCGCTGCAGGAAGCGGTCGGGATGCCAGCGCACCTGCTGCACCCTTAGGTACCTCCTCAGAGCCCCCTGCTCCTCCAGCGGGGGGCCCCTGGCCACCAGGGCTGCGGCCATGGCCTCGGGGTCCCCTCCACCAGGGCAGGGCCAGGGCACATCCCCGAAGCGCCAGAGGCGGCCCCTCCCCGCCCCCCGCGGGTGCTCCCTGGATCGAGCCCTGGGGGGCTCCGGACCCCGGTCTCCGGGGGCCTCCTGCGCCCTCCTGGCCCGGCTCACTCGCAGTTCTTCGTCCTTGGCCCGGGCTCGCTCTCGGAAAAGCCGCTGCTCCTCCTCCTGCTGTCTCCAGTTCAGACCCGAGCCCTCGGCCCTGGGGGGTCGGCAGGAGCCCTGGGCCTCTCGGCGCTGCTGCTGCTGCTGCTGCTGCTTCTGTGCATGTTCCCTGGCCAGGCGATCCGACCAGGCCGAGAAGGACTCCGGCTCCTGGGTCTCCCGGGAGGCGTCATCTGTTCGGGAAGTGGGATGGGGAGGGTGGAGAGGCTGGGATTAGCGGGTGGCAGGGGAGGCATGGAGGGCGAGGTGTGGAGCACCCCTGCGGGGCCATGGGGAGGGGAGGGGGGTGGGCGACAGTGGAAGAGGGTGGGCAGGGACCACGGGGGAGGGGGAG